GATTTTGATTTATTTTCATTTTGATTTAATTATTTTGTGTGACATTGCGTTGGAATTTAGCTGTGTTGTTTACCATACCGTTCATTTCGTAAGTATAGATGCCACACTTGTGACAGGTAAAAACATTCTTTTTTTAAGAAACAAAATATGTTACAATTCCATTTCAAAGTATCTGATTGCATTGATAGCTTTAATTTTCATAGATTTTGATTTATTTTCATCTTAATTCAATTATTTTGTGTGACATTGCATTGGAATTTAGCTGTGTTGTTTACCATACCGTTCATTTCGTAAGTATAAGTATAGATGCCACACTTGTGACAGGTAAAAACATTCTTTTTTTAAGAAATCGTGCCATCTGTTGCACACGCGAGCAACACACACTATACTATATATGTTTTGATTTCATTTTAACGTTTTCAATTGCATTGACAAATTGAATTTTCATATATTTCGATTTTTTTTTAATTTTGATTTAAATATTTTGACATTGTGTTGGAACTGAGCTGTGTTGTTTACCAGATCGCTCATTTCGTAAGTATAAGTATATATGCCTCACACCTGTGACAGATAAAACCATTCTTTTTTTAAAAAACAGTGCCATCTGTTACACATAAGAGCAAGACACTCTAAATAATAAATATGTTACGTTATGTTAAATTACGTTATAAATACAAAATACTAAATATCACACTAAATATGTTACGATTGCATTTCAATGTTTCCGATTGTATTGACAAGTGGAATTTTCATAGATTTCGATTTATTTTCATTTTCATTTCATTATTTTGCATGATATTGCATTGGAATTGAGCTGTGTTGTTTACCATACCGTTCATTTCGTGATTATAGTTTATATCTCTGTTTTTTCTTTTTCTCATTTCGTTTTTTTAACTGTTTTTTTATATTTCAGTGATGGGAGCATCAGATCATTTGATGTTCCCAATTTTCTGATGGGAGCATCAGATCATTTGATGTTCCCAATTTTCTGATGGGAGCATCAGATCATTTGGGAATGCATCGGATGAGGGATCATAACAAACAGAAGAACCATTGACATAACAAAGATCTTGTTCAAATTCTTCTTTACCTTTTAAGTAAAAGTCATGACGTTTCGAATACCTCTCATATTCATCATCAGAACTAAAACACAAAAATAAAATTAAAATGAGCAGCAAAACAAAGAACTCATATGGGACATAAATGCCTATTAAAAGATAAAAGATATAAGGCGACACTAGTTACAAAACAATTTCCTTGTTACAATTAATCCCCGCCTTTGAAATTGTTTTCAAATAATGGTTACCCTGCGCATATGGTATATATTTCTATAAGGAATTTCTTAAACAATTAGTTTCACCCTTTTTGTAAGATTACTACAGTAGAAAGGAATATTAAATACATCAAATTACCTTTTTATGTCACTATAAAAGTTCTTCTGTAGTTCTTCTGTAAGTTCTTCTGTAAGAAGTCGATTGAGGAAACTTTTACAACATTGTTATCCTCAAGTACACTTTAGAATTATTTTTGTGAATACAAATACCATAGGCTCCTATTTTAAATTTAGAGATAAAGTGCCCAACCACCCCCCCCCGTCCCTGTGCTCTAGTATCGTATATATGTATAATGGTTCCAGCTCTAATGCTGGATACATCGGGAGTTCCATTCGGAACATTGAGATCGGGATACTTGAGCACCGGGGACTATCATTTAGGACTGGATTACCATTATCCAAACCAGCATTCTCGGAGATTAGAAATCATTGTCATGAGGTAAATCATTCTCTGCTGGAATCCGATTTTAAAATTTTAAGACATTTGCATGACTGGCCAGTCCGATTAGAAAATAATGGAATCCATATATATCAGGGAGGTGCGACCTCTGCTAAATATTCACTGTTCAGCTGCTCAATTATACACGTTATAATTACCAGTGGTCCTTTTGTCGTAAATTATAGTCCATGTTGACTTATTTATTATTTAGTTCCCACGATTTGAGTCTTTCATACTAATTTCGAGTGTAGACATTTTGTACTGTTGTATTTGTTTAATTAGAACAATTTATTCAAATTTTAGTGAACGATTTTGTGCAATATATGTTTCTTTCAACGCGTCTAACTGGTAATCTATAAGTGTTTTAAATTGTTTATTTTTATATACGTTTTCTGTTTGTTGGTAGTTATTATTATAATTTTTAATTAGCTTTGAATATCCAGGTGATAATTACAGGGTTTTACTTTGATCTCTTCACGTAAGTTTACACGAGTGAATTGTTTTGTAATTAGTGTCACCTTATATCTCTTAGCTTTTTAATAGGTATTCTTGTCCCATATAAGTCCTTTGTTTTGCTGCTAATTTTAATTTAACTTTGGATCTTTGAATTTTAATGATCTTTGGCAGGTGGAGTCCGGATTTCTTGGCGTTCACAGTTTCGATCAGTTTGTTGACCTTTGCTTTTAATTCGGCTGTAGTGTCCTTCGTTACCCTTTGGAACTTAGTTTGGTCAGAGAGTATGATGTTCATTTTCGCCAGATATTCGTCTTTTTTAAGAATGACATATATTGGCGACTTGTCACCTCTCCTGACAACTCTCTCCTTGTTCTCACGAAGGCTTTTAGCTGCCGCTTTAAGCTCGGGGGACAGTATGGTGCTTCTGTAATTGCCTCGATTCTTTCCTCCTTCTGCAATAAGTTCTGCTTGTAAGGTATCTTTGGTAGTGACCTTCTTTTGGCAGGACTCCACCTGCCAAAGATCATTGGGGAATATAAACCTGGATATGCGTATGGAAATGTCAAGACACACAAGCCTGGAAACCCACTTCGGCCAATCATTAGCTAGATACCCACACCCACGTACAGACTGGCGAAGCGACTCAACGGCCTGCTGACTCCTAATGTTCCTTGCGCCTTCAGCCTGAAGTCTCCAAAGGAATTTGTTGACTTACTGCGGGGCACACGGGCCACAGGGATAAGAGCCTCGTTGGACGTAGAATCGCTGTTTACCAACGTACCTGTGGACGAGACAATCGGAATGATAGCCGACAGAGTGTATCGTGATCCAGCCTGTACTCCTCTTGACATACCAGAAAATATTCTGAGGAAACTACTCCAAGCTTATACTAAAGAGGCACCCTTCTTGAGCCCGGATGGGCACATGTATAAGCAAGTAGATGGGGTCTCCATGGGTTCTCCCCTAGGTGTCCTGTTTGCAAACTTCTACATGGGTACCATCGAGCAAAAAGTCTTAGTCGACATGAACTTGAAACCGGCCATATACTGCAGGTATGTTGACGACATTTTTACACAGGTACCTGATGTCAGACATCTGCAGGAGCTGAAGGAGGCATTTGAGCAGAGTTCCGTGCTGCGTTTCACTTACGAGATGGAAAAGGATGGGAAGCTGCCCTTTCTAGATGTAACAGTCATGGAAAAGGGCGGAGGTTTCCACACTGCAGTCTACACTAAGGAAACGAACATAGGAATGTGCCTAAATGCCAACAGCAACTGCCCAGACAGGTACAAGAGGAGTGTTGTTAACGCATATGTCGACCGTGCTCTCAGCCACAGCTCAGAATGGAAGCAAGTCGACGAAGAACTCTGTAGGGTAAGGCAGGTCCTAGTCAATAACGACTTCTCCAATGGTTTCGTCGAAGACATCATAAGAAGGAAAGTGAAAAGCCATGCAACCTCTGAAGAGACAACTAACACAACACCTATACCCCCTATTAGACTATTTTACAGGAACTTCTTTTCCACAGCTCATAAAACGGAGGAAAGGGTCCTGAAAGATATTGTTAATAGAAACGTTATCCCTACAGACAAAAATCAGAGGATACAACTGACGATTTACTATAAAACCAGAAAAACGGCCAGCCTACTCATGAGAAACTCTCCAGACACAAAACAGAATGCTTTAAAAGAGACTAACGTCGTCTATGCCTTCAAATGCCCTCTTGGGGACTGTAAGCTCCAAAAAACCCAGTATATAGGCAAGACAAACACATCTCTTTCTAGGCGTTTAACGATGCATAAGCAACAGGGCTCCATTAAGGAACATATAATCTCTTCCCACAACCAAACCATCGCCAGAGAAATCCTAGTAAACAACACAGAAATCATCGATATACAGCGATAGCAGGCGGCTCGACGTTTGCGAGGCACTACACATCAAGAAGTCAACACCAGCAATCAACAGCCAATTATTGCACAACTATATTCTACCCACCTCAAGACTCCGCTCCAATATAGAAGCATCAAGAAATATGGACCAATAGGCTTTCTACAAACACTTCTATTCAATATCCATTGTTTCGTGTTCTGTCCTGTGTTGATGAAATTAATACCCTATTAATACCACCTCTTGTTCTGTCTTGTTTTGATGAAATTAATACCCTATTAATACCACCTCTTGTTCTGTCTTGTGTTAATGCCACATCACCCCTTCCACCTCACTCAAATGTAGATATAAAATCGGAGATGCGTAAGTTCTATTCAGTTGTGTATTTGTGAACTAAAGTCTTTGAAAATGTAATATGTTTTACGAAACGCGCTCGTGTCGCGTCAGACTAGAAATAAAAATGAATTTTGGAGAATTGATTTTTGATTTACCTCCAACAGTGAAAAGAAATGTACGAAAGATTGAGAAAATTCGTGTTAGAATTATTAATCTTACTTTTTCGTTCATATTTAATAATATATGTCTACAGGAAAGACTGCTACCAAAATATACTAATATATATATATATATATATATATATATATATATATATATATATATATATATATATATATATATATATATATATATATATATATATATAGATATATATATATATATATATATATATATATATATATATATATATATATATATATATATATATAGAAGTCACAGCCACAACGTTTAAAGGGTCAATCTCTGTGGTGTTTTAGTGTTAAGTTTGTGTGTCAGCGGGTAAACAAAACAATTATAAGTCACACAATCTTTAATTTTGTTTCCCAGATGACGAGTAAGGGCCGGGCGCTGAAGATGGTGGCGGTGGGTGACGGAGCCGTCGGCAAGACCTGCCTCCTTATCTCCTACACCCAGGTGAGATGCTCTCATCAACACCTGCCTCCTTATCTCCTACACCCAGGTGTGATGCCCTGGGTGTAGGAGATTCAGGAGTACAACACATGAGACTCACTACAGGATACACCGCACGAGACAGTACACGAGTACACACCATGAGACACCCTTCAGTAGTACACACCATGAGACACACTTCAGTAGTACACACCATGAGACACACTTCAGTAGTACACACCATGAGACACACTTCAGTAGTACACACCATGAGACACACTTCAGTAGTACACACCATGAGACACACTTCAGTAGTACACACTATGAGACACACTTCAGTAGTACACACCATGAGACACCCTTCAGTAGTACACACTATGAGACACACTTCAGTAGTACACACCATGAGACACACTTCAGTAGTACACACCATGAGACACCCTTCAATAGTACACACCATGAGACACACTTCAGCAGTACACACCATGAGACACACTTCAGTAGTACACACCATGAGACACACTTCAGCAGTACACACCATGAGACACACTTCAGTAGTACACACCATGAGACACACTTCAGTAGTACACACCATGAGACACACTTCAGTAGTACACACCATGAGACACACTTCAGTAGTACACACCATGAGACACACTTCAGTAGTACACACCATGAGACACCCTTCAGTAGTACACACCATGAGACACACTTCAGTAGTACACACCATGAGACACACTTCAGTAGTACACACCATGAGACACACTTCAGTAGTACACACCATGAGACACACTTCAGCAGTACACACCATGAGACACACTTCAGTAGTACACACCATGAGACACACTTCAGTAGTACACACCATGAGACACAGCACAACAGAACACACTCTTCAGGTATCTCCAGATGACACAGAGTGCAGAAGAACACGGCAGAACAGCAACACTACATAAGTATATCAGATGATGTCCACCACAGATATACATCAGATGGGAGAGAGAACAGAATCTCAACAGGATGTATTGTTAGAATGTGTCTCAATTGTAGTTCTACAATGTGTTTCACAAATGTATAATGATACAGTTGAGGCTGGTGGTGAGGGTGTGGGTGGTGGTGAGGGTGTGGTGGTGGTAAGGGTGTGGGTGGTGGTGAGGGTGTGGGTGGTGGTGAGGGTGTGGGTGGTGGTGAGGGTGTGGGTGGTGGTGAGGGTGTGGTGGTGGTAAGGGTGTGGGTGGTGGTGAGGGTGTGGGTGGTGGTGAGGGTGTGGTGGTGGTAAGGGTGTGGGTGGTGGTGAGGGTGTGGGTGGTGGTGAGGGTGTGGTGGTGGTAAGGGTGTGGGTGGTGGTGAGGGTGTGGGTGGTGGTGAGGGTGTGGTGGTGGTGAGGGTGTGGTGGTGGTAAGGGTGTGGGTGGTGGTGAGGGTGTGGGTGGTGGTGAGGTTGTGGGTGGTGGTGAGGGTGTGGGTGGTGGTGAGGGTGTGGGTGGTGGTGAGGGTGTGGGTGGTGGTGAGGGTGTGGGTGGTGGTGAGGGTGTGGGTGGTGGTGAGGGTGTGGTGGTGGTGAGGGTGTGGTGGTGGTAAGGGTGTGGGTGGTGGTGAGGGTGTGGGTGGTGGTGAGGGTGTGGTGGTGGTGAGGGTGTGGGGTGGTGGTGAGGGTGTGGGTGGTGGTGAGGGTGTGGGTGGTGGTGAGGTTGTGGGTGGTGGTGAGGGTGTGGTGGTGGTAAGGGTGTGGGTGGTGGTGAGGGTGTGGGTGGTGGTGAGGGTGTGGTGGTGAGGGTGTGGGTGGTGGTAAGGGTGTGGGTGGTGGTGAGGGTGTGGGTGGTGGTGAGGTTGTGGGTGGTGGTGAGGGTGTGGCTGGGTGGGGTGGTGGTGGTGGTGAGGGTGTGGGTGGTGGTGAGGGTGTGGGTGGTGGTGAGGGTGTGGGTGGTGGTGAGGGTGTGGGTGGTGGTGAGGGTGTGGGTGGTGGTGAGGGTGTGGGTGGTGGTGAGGGTGTGGGTGGTGGTGCGGGTGTGGTGGTGGTGAGGGTGTGGTGGTGGTAAGGGTGTGGGTGGTGGTGAGGGTGTGGGTGGTGGCGAGGGTGTGGGTGGTGGCGAGGGTGTGGGTGGTGGTGAGGGTGTGGGTGGTGGTAAGGGTGTGGGTGGTGGTGAGGGTGTGGGTGGTGGTGAGGGTGTGGGTGGTGGTGAGGGTGTGGGTGGTGGTGAGGGTGTGGGTGGTGGTGAGGGTGTGGGTGGTGGTGAGGGTGTGGGTGGTGGTGAGGGTGTGGCTGGTGGTGAGGGTGTGGGTGGTGGTGAGGGTGTGGCTGGTGGTGAGGGTGTGGGTGGTGTTAAGGGTGTGGGTGGTGGTTAGGGTGTGGGTGGTGGTGAGGGTGTGGGTGGTGGTGAGGGTGTGGCTGGTGGTGAGGGTGTGGGTGGTGGTGAGGGTGTGGGTGGTGGTGAGGGTGTGGCTGGTGGTGAGGGCGTGGGTGGTGGTGAGGGTGTGGGTGGTGGTGAGGGTGTGGGTGGTGGTGAGGGTGTGGGTGGTGGTGAGGGTGTGGGTGGTGGTGAGGGTGTGGTGGTGGTGAGGGTGTGGTGGTGGTGAGGGTGTGGGTGGTGGTGAGGGTGTGGTGGTGGTGAGGGTGTGGGTGGTGGTGAGGGTGTGGCTGGTGGTGAGGGTGTGGGTGGTGGTGAGGGTGTGGGTGGTGGTGAGGGTGTGGGTGGTGGTGAGGGTGTGGCTGGTGGTGATTGTGTGGGTGGTGGTGAGGGTGTGGGTGGTGGTGAGGGTGTGGGTGGTGGTGAGGGTGTGGTGGTGGTGAGGGTGTGACTGGTAGTGAGGGTGTGGGTGGTGGTGAGGGTGTGGCTGGTGGTGAGGGTGTGGGTGGTGGTGAGGGTGTGGTGGTGGTGAGGGTGTGGGTGGTGGTGAGGGTGTGGTGGTGGTGAGGGTGTGGGTGGTGGTGAGGGTGTGGTGGTGGTGAGGGTGTGGGTGGTGGTGAGGGTGTGGGTGGTGGTGAGGGTGTGGCTGGTGGTGAGGGTGTGGTGGTGGTGAGGGTGTGGGTGGTGGTGAGGGTGTGGGTGGTGGTGAGGGTGTGGTGGCGGTGAGGGTGTGACTGGTAGTGAGGGTGTGGGTGGTGGTGAGGGTGTGGCTGGTGGTGAGGGTGTGGGTGGTGGTGAGGGTGTGTGTGGTGGTGAGGGTGTGGGTGAGGTGGTGAGGGTGTGGTGGTGGTGAGGGTGTGGTTAGTGGTGAGGGTGTGGGTGGTGGTGAGGGTGTGGGTGGTGGTGAGGGTGTGGTGGTGGTGAGGGTGTGGGTGGTGGTGAGGGTGTGGGTGGTGGTGAGGGTGTGGGTGGTGGTGAGGGTGTGGTGGTGGTGAGGGTGTGGGTGGTGGTGAGGGTGTAACTGGTGCTCAGTGAAATTAAACCCCTTTAATATTGACACGTTTAGTTAGCTAAATTCACTGTATTTCTTACGGAGAGGATATGGGGAGAGTAGTCGGAATATGAGGTAGTATAAGTGAGACATAAGGTAGGTTATGAGGTAGTATAAGTGAGAAATAAGGTACTTTATGAGGTAGTATAAGTGAGACATAAAGCAGGTTATGAGGTAGTATAAGTGAGACATAAGGTAGTGCATGAGGAAGTATAAGTGAGACATAAAGCAGGTTATGAGGTAGTGTAAATGCGACATACAGCAGATGGCGTGTCTCCCCCAGGGGTGGTTTATGAGGTAGTGTGGTGTCTCCCCCAGGGGTGGTTTATGAGGTAGTGTGACCTGTCTCCCCCAGGGGTGGTTTATGAGGTAGTGTGGCCTGTCTCCCCCAGGGGTGGTTTATGAGGTAGTGTGGTGTCTCCCCCAGGGGTGGTTTATGAGGTAGTAGTGTGGCCTGTCTCCCCCAGGGGTGGTTTATGAGGTAGTGTGGTGTGTCTCTCCCAGGGGTGGTTTATGAGGTAGTAGTGTGGCCTGTCTCTCCCAGGGGTGGTTTATGAGGTAGTAGTGTGGCCTGTCTCCCCCAGGGGTGGTTTATGAGGTAGTGTGGTGTGTCTCTCCCAGGGGTGGTTTATGAGGTAGTAGTGTGGCCTGTCTCCCCCAGGGGTGGTTTATGAGGTAGTGTGACCTGTCGCCCCCAGGGGTGGTTTATGAGGTAGTGTGACCTGTCTCCCCCAGGGGTCGTTCAACGAGAGCTACGTGCCGACAGTGTTCGACAACTACGCCGGGACCATCATGGTGGACGACAAGGAGTACTGCTACACCCTGTGGGACACTGCCGGCCAGGAGGGCTTCGACAAGTGCCGCGTCCTCTCCTACACCCAGGTGTGTCTCCTACACCCAGGTGTGTCTCCTACACCCAGGTGTGTCTCCTACACCCAGGTGTGTCTCCTACACCCAGGTGTGTCTCCTACACCCAGGTGTGTCTCCTACACCCAGGTGTGTCTCCTACACCCAGGTGTGTCTCCTACACCCAGGTGTGTCTCCTACACCCAGGTGTGTCTCCTACACCCAGGTGTGTCTCCTACACCCAGGTGTGTCTCCTACACCAAGGTGTGTCTCCTACACCCAGGTGTGTCTCCTACACCCAGGTGTGTCTCTTACACCCAGGTGTGTCTCCTACACCAAGGTGTGTCTCCTACACCCAGGTGTGTCTCCTTCACCCTTGTCTGTCTCCTACACCCAGGTGCGTCTCCTACACCCAGGTGTGTCTTCTACACCCAGGTGTGTCTCCTACACCCAGGTGTGTCTTCTACACCCAGGTGTGTCTCCTACACCCAGGTGCGTCTCCTACACCCAGGTGTGTCTTTTACACCCAGGTGTGTCTCCTACACCCAGGTGTGTCTTCTACACCCACGTGTGTTTCCTACACCCACGTGTGTCTCCTACACCCACGTGTGTCTTCTACACCCAGGTGTGTCTCCTACACCCACGTGTCTTCTACACCCAGGTGTGCCGCCCTTCTCTCTTTCTCTGTTGTGCTGGTGTCGTACAAATGATCTCTTATATGTGTGCTGTTTCATGTATGTACTGTGTCATATATATACTTTCATATAAGTAGTATTATGTAGGTCCTGTGTGATATATGTATTGTCATATTTGTACCGTGTCATGTTGGTACTGTGTCACAATTGTACTGTATCATATATAGGTACTGTGTCACATATATAGTAGTAGTAGGCATCCATCAGTCTCAGGAGACTATGGAGTTGCTCTCTAGTTGTCGGTCTGGAGTGGCCTCTCCAGGGCGCAAAGCCAGGATAGGTTGATATGGGGAGAAGCTGTTACCCAGGCAGCTGGTGCCCCCCTCTCCACGGCTCCGAAAGTCTCCTTTGGAAAGGCAAACGCCAATTCGATTGGTTCCTGCGCCGTCACAGGAACTGTCATAATGAGGTTGAAGGCAATAACGAACTGCTTTAGGGGGCGCCAGCTGCAAAAATTTACCTCGAAGTTAATGAAAGGAGGCACTGGGACTCCAAACCCGGAGACCGCCGTGGTCGGGCCGGAGAAGAACCACCCCATCAAGGGCAAGAACGACCCCAGCCTCCTGAAGCAGAGCTTGGGGCCGCACGAGCCCCGGGAGGTGGACGTCCCGGTCCCGCACCTACGGGTTCCTGACACAGAGCGTCACAGCCCCTTTTCACCCGAGGATGGCTAATTATAATTATTATTATAATAATAATATATTTAATAATAATACAGTACTTATATTCTGTATCATATACATACTGTGTCACATATGTACCCGGTCACATAAGTTGTGTGTTATGTAGTCATGTAGGATAAGAAGGAGGAGGCTCATACAAATAGCAAAACAAACTGCAACAGCACAAGCGAACACACAGTTTCGAGTCCTCTATCACGTCACTCGTCAACGCCTCGTATTTCAAGAGACAGGGACCACGTTAAACATGCACTCACCTAGTTGTGCTTGTGGGGGTTGTGCTTCGGCTCTTTGGTCCCACCTCTCAACTGTCTATCAACCGGTGTACATTTACATCTGGGAATGTAACTCAGCACACACCTATTATCCCATGTTCACTTCCACTACGGAACCCCCTGGATTGTCCTCTCTACTTTATGTACTCGGAGGACCTTCCTCCAGCTCTCTATTCATTATTATTTCCACTCAACTCCCTTGATATTGTAGCAGCCTCGAGTATTTATTTTCTCATGCATGAATGGACTCACAGCAGCAAGAAGGAAAACAACCAAACAAAATTTACATATATTAAACAAAAGAATACAATGGTAGCAAAAGTAGGTTGAGACCTCTAATCAATCCTTGTCATACAGACCTATCTTCCTTGCTATCATGTCTCAGTAAAGTCATGTGAAGACTAGTACTTACTCGCCTTCAGTAGTACCTTGAGAATAATTAATATTATACCTTCACTTGCAGCTGGATTTCCGCCGCACTGTTCCACAGTGGATCAAATACTCTGCCTTGAACATGAAATCCGCACCTCTCTCAGAAGCAGTAAATTTTGTATTGTTCTCTACCTAGACCTTAAAGGAGCTTTTGATAACATTCCTCACACTTGCCTCTTGGCAAAGCTTGCACCTTTAGGCGTACAGGGAAGATTACTTCTATGGCTACAGTCCTATCTTACGAACAGGACCGCCAAAGATTATATACAAGGCAGGTTTTCAGACAGCATTATTATTCGAACGGGTGTCCCGCAAGTCTCCATTCTAAGCCCAAACTTTTTTGCTTCATTCTTAGCAGATTTACCTATTACCCGCCCCGTTCACCTCTCGCCGTACGTTGATGATTTAACATTATTCAGACACTGCCCTACCTACTACAGTCTCAACAATGCAAACAGCACTTGACCACCTCAGTGCTTGGACACAACAACGGGGCCTCCAAGTTAGTACTACTAAAACCTGTTATCAGAGCTTCACTAACAAAAGACTTGTTCATCTACCCACCCTCACAATACACAACACTCCCATCCAACACGTACGAAGATAAATACCTTGGCATGCACTTCGACTCACCCTCACTTACCTGGTCAGCACACATTCAACACCTTAAACAGGCGACACAACCCCGACTCACCATACTTAAAGCCCTCACTGGCACCACCTGGGGAGCACACCTAAAATTTTGTTCCGTTTCTGTTGTTGTTGTTAAAGATTCGCTACCTGGAACAAAAAGTTTCAAGCAACACGGGCTATGGTGAGCCCGTAGATAGTTATAATTCCGTTTCTATACAACCAACATTCGCGGCCAACTAGACTATTGGTGCCAGGTAGTAGTATAAACCAGGCCAGAAGCCGCCCGTTTTGGTTTTTCCAACGGCCGGCTTCTGGCCCCTAACAAATTTTCGTGAACGTTGGCGATTGCCTTTCTGGGGGCCTCGCAGCTGAGTGGATAGCGCTCGGGGGTTGTAGTTCAAAGGGCCCGGGTTCGATTCCCGGCTCAGGCAGAAACAAATGGGCATAGTTTCTTTCACCCTGATGCACCTGTTCACGTAGCAGTAAATAAGTACCTGTGAGTTAGACAGCTGCTACGGGCTGCTTTGTAGGGATGTGTGTGTGTGTGTTAGATAAATCTATCTTGAGGTTATCTTGAGATGATTTCGGGGCTTTAGTGTCCCCACGGCCTGGTCCTCGACCAGGCCTCCACCCCCAGGAAGCAGCCCGTGACAGCTGACTAACACCCAGGTACCTATTTTACTGCTAGGTAACAGGGGCATAGGGTGAAAGAAACTCTGCCCATTGTTTCTCGCCGGCGCCCGGGATCGAACCCGGGACCACAGGATCACAAGTCTAGTGCGCTCTCCGCTCGGCCGACCGGCTCAGGTACATACCTATGTAGTAGATATAATAGAGGAAAAAATAGATTGATTAGAAATGTGGGGTTCAAGAGTTAATAGCTCGATTCTGCATGCACAAATAGTAAAGACATATAGTAAATACACACACACACCAGAATAGTTAAATTATAAAGCAACAAGTACAACAAGGCCATTCAGCGGGGCATAAAGTGCTAGACCTCACACCCCCAATAGTCAGTGATAGGCAAGTACACAATAGAAGCCCTACCTGCCCCAGCCCCTGCCAGCCCCCCCCCCCAAGTCCCCACCTAGACCACCCTACCCCCAGTCCCCCCCTCATCTCAAGACCTCCCTTCTCCCCCATCAGCCTAAGCCCTCTCTTCTCCCTCATCCCCCTAAGCCCACTTTTCTCCCCCACCCCACTAAGCCCTCCTTTCTCCCTCAACCCCCGAAGCCCTCCCCTCCTCTCCATGCCCCCACAAGCCCTCCTTTCTCCCCCTCCAACCCCACAAGCCCTCCCTCCACCCCCACAAGCCCTCCTTTCTCCCCCTCCACCCCCAAAGCTCTCCTTTCTCCCTCAACCCCTCAAGCCCTCCCCACCACCCCTAAACCCCCACCAAGCCCCCCTCTTTTCTCCACCCTCAAAGCTCCTCTCCTCCCCCCCCCCATCCTCTAAAGCCCTCCCTTCTCCCCCCCCCCAAAGCTCTCTTGTCGCCCCCCCTCTCCAAACCAGATTCTCCCAGCCCCCCCTCACATCCATGATACCCCCTTACCCCCAGCCCCCCCCCCTCACAACCCTGGTCCCCCTTACCCCCAGCCCTCCCTCACAACCCAGATCCCACTTACCCCCAGCCCTCCCTCACAACCCTGGTCCTCCCTTACCCCCAGCCCTCCCTCACAACCCTGGTCCTCCCTTACCCCCCAGCCCTCCCTCACAACCCTGGTCCCCCTTACCCCCAGCCCTCCCTCACAACCCTGGTCCCCCCTTACCCCCAGCCCTCCCTCACAACCCTGGTCCCCCTTACCCCCAGCCCTCCCTCACAACCCTGGTCCCCCCTTACCCCCAGCCCTCCCTCACAACCCTGGTCCCCCTTACCCCCAGCCCTCCCTCACAACCCTGGTCCCCCTTACCCCCAGCCCTCCCTCACAACCCTGGTCCCCCCTTACCCCCAACCCTCCCTCACAACCCAGATCCCCCTTACCCCCAGCCCTCCCTCACAACCCTGGTCCCCCTTACCCCCAGCCCTCCCTCACAACCCTGGTCCCCCTTACCCCCAGCCCTCCCTCACAACCCTGGTCCCCCTTACCCCCAGCCCTCCCTCACAACCCAGATCCCCCCTTAACCCCAGCCCTCCCTCACAACCCTGGTCCCCCTTATCCCCAGCCCTCCCTCACAACCCAAATCCCCCCTTACCCCCAGCCCTCCCTCACAACCCTGGTCCCCCTTACCCCCAGCCCTCCCTCACAACCCAGATCCCCCTTACCCCCAGCCCTCCCACACAACCCTGGTCCCCCTTACCCCCAGCCCTCCCTCACAAC